AAACTATTAACATATTTGGAAGTTTTCCTTTTTTTTTTCCCAGTCTTAATTCACAAGACAATTAATCTGTGGTGCAGGCTAGCCAGTTTAGAAACATCATTATTGACCTAAATTTCTCCCACAGCTTGTCCAACAAATGCTTTAGGTATTGTTCATGGTATCCAAGGGACCCTTGATATAGCAGAAAAGAACAAAGGAATGGCTCAGATGATTGGAATTAAAAGTTATAGGCTTCTGGAGACTGTGAAATACTGTGAAATTGCTAATACTTTATATATATACACTTTGCTGGACTTCTTACTCAGAGGGATGCACTGATCCTGAGCCTGGAGGAGGTGATGCTTGACTATTAACCAGCTGTCTTGGACCCCTCTTCCTTCGAGGGCCCTACCCCATGAGATTCCCCTAAGTAGGTCCCTGAAGAGGCCAAAGTCAGCTCTCCTGAAGTCCAGCGTTGCAATCCTACTTATTGCCCTAAATGAAGGACTTAGATGGCGTAGTCTCATCACTGGCATGGGACTGTAGATGCTATAGCAGACAGCGTTAAGTGGGGATGAGATACCCTATATCCTATTTCTGGTTAATTTCTTCCCATAGTTTAACATTAAACTCTGAGGAAGGTGTGTTCCCTTTCATTAAAAGTAGTTAATAGCTCTTAACTATAAGATTAAACATAATTGTATTGAGTAAAACTCTCCAGTTGTTTTTCATTTGATTGGTCACAGAGCTGTGGGAATACAGCAGTGATGGCTGAGGTTCTGGTATCAGAATGGGATATTGCAATTAGAGATGCATGATACCAAGCAAAATAACTGTTGCTATTAGCACTTAAAAAAAAAAAAATCCTTTGTTCCTCCAGTCTCTGCTGTGCCTTTGGCTATGTGCACTCTGCATCACTGTTCTCTGGAGCTGGACACTACAAATTAATGCATTTTTGCCCTTTCTGGGCAGAAGCAGGGACTGACAGCAAGCTCTCTTCTGCCTTCTCTTCTCTCTGCGCTCTTTGCTCTAAACAAGCTTTCTAGTAGAGTAGACTTGTACATGTGGGGATATGGATCCTGGGAAGATCTGCTGAAATAAGGTGCCTATAGCTGTACGGATGGGGTAACAGGAAGAGGTTTGAAGACTGCCATAGAAGTACAGTTACCTCCCCCACAGTGGAATGAGACCACTTTACCTAGATGGTCAGTGCTGCCTCCTCACTAAACCTCTGCTCCTGTCTTTTAAAAAAAAAAAAAAAAAAAAAAAAAAAAGGGCGTGCACGTGTGTGTGTGTATGTGTGTGTATATATATATATACACACATATATAAATAATCTCTCTTGGTATTTGATGATGATTTGATACTACTTTGATCATATTAATATTCAACTGGTACTGGCTACATTTTAATGATAGGTAATTGTAAAATGAGCTTTATATTATTGTGCATATGTCAGCAATGCAATTTTCCTAGAGGAATTTTGAAGTTTGTTTTTTGTTTTTTGTTTTTTTTAGTGACTAGTTATTGCAGAGCATAAAGCTTTCTAATGCCTCTACTGCTGCAGTTCAGTGCTCCATTGCTACCTTTGTTACAGACTGTAAAAGACTTCTGCAGAAAATGCTGTTAGCAGAAAGAGAAATTGGAAACTCTTAACTCTTTTAAATTCGGTGCCAAATATCAGGAAGTTAATTGCTGCTGTTAGCTACTTCAATGCCATTTCCATTGGGTAGTGCAACTTGTTAAACAGATAATTTAGTTAGAAACTGAATAGTTAGAAAGAATCATAACACTTAACGTTTGCAGGTAAAATCAGGGATAGCTCTTACACTGGGGAGACAGTGGTGTCCATCCCCAGCAAAATAACCTCCTGGCTCTGAGACTTATTTCCCTTCTGTGCCAAAGAAGCACAGAGGCCAGTAAAAAGCCAAGCACCACAGCATGCAGGAACTGGAAGTACACTGTGCCTGCACAGCAGCCCTCACTGCGAGGGGGATACCCTGCAGCTAAAAAGCTTTAGAGCTGCTGCTGTATAAAACCATCTCATCATAAATTCCTTTATTTTTGTATTTCATGTTGGCAGTTAAATGTCTGTACTGAAAACTTTCGTCATCTGCAATAGCAAACTGACAGTCTAGTCTTAAAGTTCCTTTCCTTAGTCCTCACAGTTCTGCAAGACCTGGGTTATGGATAAAATGCTGGGCTTCACTGAAGCTTTAACCTGAGCTGTGTTTTTAGTTCATTTTCAGTCTTGTCAGATTTATTGCCCTAGTATTTGCATATAATATGACATATATAGAACAAGTAGGATATATAGTGTATAGTTTTCTTCTACTTTGCTTGTATTTCCGTGGTATACGTCTTCATGGAGGATGTGCAGTGACGACCTGTAACTGATGGCTTCTCTTTTTCTTCTCCACGTCATCAAATGTGGTTTTGTGGTTGTAGAGCTAGTGCTGATAAAGCATTTCTGAGTAGTTTTTTGAAAGACCTTCAGACACAGAAAATACTTCAAACATTGTGAAGCTGAAAGCTTGCAAGGATTGTAACTTGCTACTTGCATATACTAGGAATTCCCACGAGGTCTTTCTTATTCCCCCAACTCCTCCTTTTTTTTTTCCACTTTTTTTTCCCTTCCTTTCCCCCCTCTCGAGTTTATCCTTCTCAAACCTGTCTTCATTTAACTTTAGGGATCTTTGAGTCGAGATTTGTTTGAAAAGGACCTCATAGGAACTATTGCACGGTTATCATCATCATTAAAACTCTCGTGCTTACACACAGTCATCATTCTTGCTCTTTGAGTAGCAGCGTGATTTATTCATTTCATTTTTTTTTTGAATCTACAGGAATCTCAGAATGTCTTAAAACAGTTTTTTGGCCAGAGTTAGCATTTGTAGATCTTCTGCTGTTGACTTCCCGAGGTGAAAAGGAATGATTTTGGAACTAAGTTGTGTTTGTTTTTGCCTTAATTTCCTTCTCCCAGCATTGCAGAAGACTCTGTTGTTTCCCTCCTCTCCACTGAGTTACTTAGTAACCGACTTGTGTGATACAGAGAAGTTTATTGCAAATTAAGATAGTTGTAAGCTCATGTAAGAGGCTTAGAATGGCCAAGAAGTTCAGTATCTATGTTATAATGTTAGTAGTGGCAAACACTTCAGTAAAACTCTGTAGATTTTATCTGAGCAAGCTGATTTTAGTAACTGGAGAGCCTTCTTAATTTTAAATATTTTTCTGATTAAGAATGGTTTTAAAATGAAGACGGATGTGGGAGTTCAAGTGTGCTTGAGCTGGCCTGGTGGTTCAAGTATTAGTTTTCAGGCTGATCGTAGCGCAGCATTGTAACACTGCACAGGTACTGAAAGTGGAATTTCTGGTCTTAAATGATAACACACAAAGTTGATGTACCACTCCACTGTAAAAATAACTTTAGAGACAGGGTTGTGGGGTTTGTGGTGGTGGATTTTTTTTATTATTATTATTTTTTATCTTTTTTTAGCATGCTGATACTGAGAAGATATTCATTATTATGGAGAGTTCTTTGATATTTGAAATTCTATGAATGTTTGTTTCATGATGAACCTCAGAGCTTTCAATTTTGAAAGATCAAGTGTGGGAATTCTGGGATGTGGGTGCAGGCCAATAATTGGAAGATTGAAGTCCGTGGTTTAAAAATTAAGTAAAATTCCATACTCGTTAATGTTAGTAATTAAAAAGAGGTTAATATCTAAATATCTGCTTTAATTCATAATGCTTTAGTCATCTATTTCTGTGGGGTTTTGTTTCATATTTTGTTTCAGACATCTTTTGTTTTGTTTTTTGTTTGTTTCTTATCCATCTTTAATTCTAGAACAACCAGAGAATGGTAATGATGCTACTGAATTGGGCAACTTTATCATACCTGAGATTAGTGTCACAAATGTGGCTGGAGAGAGAACCGGGAATGGGGAAAAAAGCAGAGCACTAGCAGAGAATGATGTTCAGCATTTACAGGGTGTACAGGAAACAGCTACAGATCCTAGAACTGACAGCAAAGGCATACCAGAAATCAGGAGGCAAAAATCTGTAAGAAAAATGATGGAGGATGGAATAAACTCATCTGGCAGAGTGCAGTTTTAGCAGAGCACTTGTAGCTGCACTCTAAGGTACCGCTGTTGATTGAAAGGGTCACTGCTGCATGTTTGGAGAATTAAAGTATGCAGTTAATATATTTGCATGTGTAATAACACAGATGCATGTATTGCACACAGATTTGTCTGTGCCACAGGCAACGATGATGTACTTACAAGTAGATGTATTTAATTTGGAGCAGCTACACTGTGAGACTCAGCATTACTTTTGATTTTGTAAATCCAATAAATATGCTTAATAAAACTCAGTGATCAATGGAATGATCCTATCATTAAAGCTATCAAAATGGACATGAAAAACATCTTGCTGTGTGTATCAGATTTCCCCAAATTTCACTTTTCATGGTATACTGGAGTTTTCATGTTCCGCTGTGCTAGAGTTTCCAAATCGTACCATCAGACCTACGATGCAGAAGGTGACCCTTCAGTCCTAAAGCATTCTTGGGTTGCTAAATGTGCAGGTGCCATACTGGGTGTTCTGGGGCATTGATCACATCTTTAGAATTAATGAGCTTTGCAAAATAGTATATGGGAGCACTTGCTCAAAATAAGATTTCCACTTTTTTAGTTTTGTGTGGTATCTTCTAATATGTTTCTAATCTCTTGCATGAATTAACAAGACTGCATTTTTTTTTTTCAAAATCACTACAAAATGAGATTGTGGGCATGCTTCTTGATTTGAGTTAATGCAGCATTATTTGCTGTAATTTTATATCCTAATGAATTGTATTCCAAAATGTAAAATAATAGGTAAGTGTTCTGTCTTCTATTTGCTCTCTGTTGTGTTGCTTTAAAGCTTCATGCTTGTAAATATGAGAAAGTCGAGTAATACATAAAATCATTAAATATGAGAGTCACATGTTAATTTTTTTTTTTTCTTATTCTGCCATGCAGGTAATACTGATTTAGCAATTCAAGAAGAACTGATAGAAGTATCTGAAACTGATGAAGGATTTTACTCTAGGGCTACTTCTAGCGCAAGTCAGTCTGCCTTATTGAACAGCAACACCAGCAGCAGCAAGAGCCTTTTAGGGAAGAGCCAACGTAGATCTGGCGGAAGCAAAGCTGGAGGGAAAGAAAAAGAAGGGGAAACCTGCAGAGAACACTTGTCACGAAAACAAACTCAGAGAGCCATGAGTGAGAACCTAGAGCTCGTCTCTTTGAAGAGACTGACACTGACAACTAGCCAATCACTGCCTAAACCTGGCAGCCATAGTTTGGCCAGAACTACCACTACTGTTTTTAGTAAATCCTTTGAACAGGTCAGTGGTGTCACAGTTCCAAATAGTCGTGGTGGTGTATCTGGTACAGAGGCAAATAGGTTCTCAGCCTGTAGTCTTCAGGAGGAAAAACTGATATACGGAGCAGAAAGAACAGATCTTCCTATTTCAAGTAAACAATCCAATCAGCAGCGACCTCCTAGTATCAGCATAACTTTATCAACAGATTGACGTTGTTAAATTGGCCAATATGAAATCAGTTTTATGCTGATGTGGGTAGCATATGTTAAGCTCCTTAATATGCTATGTATTACCTTCTTAAACCTGAAGCGCATAAATTCTTATGTTTGGCTCCTATTTGACAGTAAGAATGCGTAGACACAGTTGTAATTATTTTGCATCAACTTCTCATAGCTTGGAAAGTACCTCTTTAACTTCTTACTATATTTGTATGCCTGCTTGTTTACAGCTTCATGTAACAACAATTTAACAAGCATCAATCGGTTGTTTAGCCCCTGACCAAGATGTGTGGCTTTCTACAAATGCACAGTATGGGAACAAACAGATCCCCTTTGTGAGATTTTACTCTTCACTACCAGCTGGCATAAGCAAAACTGCAAAGGTTATTTAGTAGGAGCCTTGTGGCGTGGGCATGAAGTTTGAAGCAGCATTGTAAGAATATAACACTTTCTTGTATTTGTCCTAAGAAAGCTGCGTTTACATGTAAGGTTAAAACTAGAAGCATCAGTTCAGTGTTTGTTATGGCAGCTTTTGTAACAGTAGTTAGTACACATGGCAATACTTCCACTTTTGCATACCTATGAGTCTGCATTATAGATACACTGTAGTTTGTATGCACGCCTTTGACACTGGGCAAAAGTCATACAGTAGCAGTACTTGAGGATGAGAGTTCTTATGAATTGCTATAGTAGTCACTTTTCAGACTACCAATAGTCTGACAGTCTCTGTATTTCTTTCAGATTCTTAAATATTGGGCACAAAGTTACTTACTGAAAAGTCACTATTATCAATAATTCTATTTATGGGAAAGAGATGTGCTCACGTGATGGTGTCATGTAGAAATAAGGTATGAACCCTTTGCACTGAATCAAGCAAATCAGGAGTGTGAATGTGTTTAACATGAACTTGTAACTTGAGACTAAGAGAATATTACCAAAGGATATGTACTTCTAGTAACTTGCAAGCACAAAGGGAAGTTATAATGTAAATACAACTAGCATTACACTTGCTAATGTATTGTACCTGTTATTTTTCTAATTTGAAATTCTAAAATAGAAGCCTATTTGAGGTTACTTAACTTCAAGCCTTCATGTAGTCTGACCTTATTTGTTACTAGCTTCCGTAACCTTGAGATTATAACTGAAAAAATGCTTATGCAGAACTTTGGAGAAGCAACAGCTGATGAAAAGTTCAGTAGCAGTGACTATCTGAAACAGACCATATATTGTGAGTGGAGAAACAGGATGAAGATCTAATGCATGTTCATTCCCAAGTGACCAGATTTTCACAGGTAGCAATCCCTTATTGTCAAGAATATAGGAAGGCCTTGCAACAGAACAAGTGATAAGATTTTAGTAGGCTTTCTTATTTGCCTGGGGGTAAGTTGCGATACTTGGGTTTTTTTTTTTTGTTTAAACTGAAGCAAGTAACTTAAGCAGCCCATGTTATGCTAGAGTCTTACAGCTTCCTGAATTAATTAATAAAAAGGGATGCGAAGGTGTACTTGATGGCGTTAAACAAGTTGTTACTGAAAATGGACTAGTACATACGGTCTCTGGAGCATGCATAACCACAGGCAATGGAAGAGCTTCAGGCAGCTAGCAGCAGACTTTGCCTAGTACTACAGATTACCCTGAATGTAGAGCTTTTCCTTTCCTTGAGATTTGTTTTAGATGTTCTGAGTTCTGCAGGTTATTTCTTCATAGCTGCCTCCTGATCTGCTCTTACAGTGAAGTATTTAAGAATACTTTGAAATACCTTACAGTAACTTACATTGAAAAAAATAATTAGAAAAATAAAATTTCAACTGACAAATTATTTGTGACAGTATTAATCATGCACTAGTGTTAAGAAACTATTATTTCTAAGTAGGGTGGGTTTTTTGTTTAAGATCACAATTATCTATAAAAGATGTTTATTATACTTGGAGGATCTAGCCACTTTAGCTATAAATCATTAGCTTTCTGAAGCATCTAAAATGCCATAAAATAGAGATGTAACATAATGTTTACAACGCTGTTGGCTTCAAGTCGGACAGTGTTAAAGTACAGTTAGCTTACCCTTTTATTTTATACAGCTAATTATTCTAATCTTGGTCTGGCTTGAATCCAGAATGATAGCTCACACTGTACAGCTGAAACTACATGAGGCTTCATACCTTTTTATGAAATGATAAAAGGAAAGTTTCTTGGTACTAAAGGGCTGCTGCTTTAATAACGTGCAGCTTCATGTAAATGTGTGCATTAGTCTTTGAATCAACTTATACAGTGTTTTCACAAACTGACATCACATGTTCATACTGATTGAGTCCCAAGAATTTCTTTACTGATGTAAGTAATGAACTTTCAACTATACTTCTTTATTTTCTTTAAATAAAAGGGAGGAGGAGAGGGAGAGCAGAGTTATTTATTTTGTCTGAATAGCCATTGAATTCCAGAAGACAAGTGTTGCACTGTTGCTAGTGTAGGATTGGAGTAGAGATGGGAAGGGAAACAGTGATATTAATTCTTTCCTGCTACTTACAAAATTGGGAAGCTCTTGGTTTTTGAGCATTAGCTGATCATTTTAGACTGATTAATGGAAAGAGGCCTTTTAAAGGTGTAAGGAAATTATCTTAAGGCATTACATATTCTACTCTATCCCATAGTAGGTAGTTGTGATAAGTATGTTCCGAATGTCATACATAGTTGCAACATTCTGCAGAAATAATGTTAAATAGGGGTGAATCATGTCAAATTATAATAAGAAGCTGTTGAATGCTGGCATTTAAAACTGACCTTACTGTTTTAAATCGTAGGGAACTGCTTCCAGTGTTGGCTTTGAACAGCACCATTAGCAAAACTATATTGAAAACTGTGTAGAACTGCTTTCATTTTGAGAATCTGTAACATTTGTGCAAAGAGTGAATGCCTTCTCACCACTCCCTCTGGGGCTGCGGTGGCTTTTCTGGGGAGGGGGGGCAGGGGAGAGGAAATGTCCTTGAATACCTGACAGATTTGACGGGTACAGAAATATATTACTATTTTACCCCATTTATCTAAGGTCTCTTCTGATTTCTTTAAGGACTTTAGAAATTTCTAACTTAATTCTCTGATATCTTTTGTCAATGTTTGAGGCTTACAGTGCTATATATAGACATGTAATATATTGCCTTTTGTATTTGTATAATTATACTTCTAAGTCAGCTGAATAGATGTGTACATTTCTTAACAGTCTCCAAAGTCTCTGAAATAGCTGCATCAGTTTATAGATGTTTGTCTTCCCCTTGAGAGCCTGAGTTTAAAAGACAGTGCCACACTTTCTCATATTCTGCAGTTTGTTGTGTGACACTATTCTATTTTAGTAATGCAGTATTTCACTTTTTACAGAGTAAAATGCGTTTTTAATTGTACATGACAACTTACATTCCTAGTGTATAAACTACAGACTTGTGGTGTTTTGTGTTTAATACTTTGGCCAATGAAATAAACTGGATTTTTTTGAAGTTGTATACTTTTGTAAATACTTTGTACAGTAGCAAACTTTGCCTCTTTTGTACAGGTTTTGCTGAAATACACATTAGGTAGCAACACATTTGTTCAACATTCATTATGCACATCTAGAAGTCACTGCAGATTGACCACATTACTTAAAACGTGCTGGATACCTCTGTTACACACAGGCTCTTCTAATACAGCGTTGGCAATTAAGACAATGTGACTAAGCCACTTGGCTGAGAAATAGTGGCTCACGGTTGTGTAGTGGCTGGTGTCAGAAGTGGACTGTCCTGCCAGTAATGCAGCACTGCTTGTGTAACTCTGATAGTTGTGATCATGGTCTTTAATGTAACAGTATTCTTATTTTTGATAGTTTACACAGCAATAATCTGTGATATGTCTTCATTAGCACTCCTATCCAGCAGTTTCTACTGTGTGTTTGACATGTCAGCAGTCCGCAAGGACAGCTGCAACAAATAGTCTTTGATGTGAATGATGTAATGAAGTAGTCTTTGATGCTGATGAATGACGTGAGTGGCAGGAACTCAATAATACCCTGAAAGGGGAGCCAGTGCTACTGGCTCTGCAAGTGGTTTTCTCTCAATGTTGCCCAGGCAGAAAGCGGACAGTCCCCTCAACTTTAACATTATGGAAGTAGTGCTAGAGTTCCCTTTTCACAGGATCACAGAGTGCATGAGGTTGGAAGGGACATCAGGACATGGTCTAGTGCAAAAGCTCCTGCTCAGAGCAGGGTCAACTAGAGCAGGTTGCTCAGGACTGTGTCTCAGTGGGTTTTGAGCCTCTGTGAGGCTGGAGCTTCTACAACCTCTGTGGGCAGCCTGTTGCAGTGCTCAGTCACTGTCACTCTGAAAGAGCTTCCTCCTTGTGCTTAAACATGATTTCCTGTATTTTATTGCCTCTTGTCCTGTCACAGGGCGCCACTGAGAAGAGCCTGAGTTCAACTCCTTTACACCCTCCCGTGGGATATGTGTGCACATTGATAAGATCCTCCCCGCCTAAGCCTTATCTTCCCTAGGCTAAGCAATCCCAGCTCTCTCAGCCTCTCCTCATATGACTCCCTTCATCGTCCTCAAGATCGCTTGCTGGATTCACTCCTGTGTGAAGTCCCTGTGTGTCTTGTACCGGGGAGCTGAGAACTGGGCCCAGCACTCCAGCTGTAGCCTCGCGAGGGCTGAGGAGAGGGGGATGGATCACTTCCCTCAGCTTGCTGGAGACGCTCTCCCTAATGCAGCCCATGAGGCTGTTGGCTGCCTTTTCCACAAGGGCACATTGCTGGCCTGTGTTCAGCTTGTCCACCATGCCCCTCCCCAGGGAGGGTCTTCTCTGTAAAGCTGTTCTCCAGCTGGTTGGCCCCCAGTGTATGCTGGTGCATGGGGTTATTCTTCCCCAGGGGCAGGACTTTGCATTGTCCTCTGTTGCACTCTGTGAGGTTCCTCTCTGCCTGTTTCTCCAGCCTGCATCAGCTACTCCTCTGTTTCGTGTCATCTGCAGATCTCACTTGCTCAGGGTGCTCTCTAAGCCATCATCCAGGTCATTAATGAAACTGTTAAACAGTAGTAGTCCCAAGTATTGCCCCTGGGGTACACCACTAGTGACTGGCATCCGGCTGGACTTTGTGCTGCTGATCATAACACCTTGAGTCTGGCAGTTCAGCCAGTTTTCAACCTACCTTGCTATCTGCTTATCTACCCCTACTTCATCAGCGTGTCAGTAAGGATGTTATAGGAGACAATGTGAAAAGCCTTACTAAAATAAGGCTGTTAAACAATGTCCACTGCTTTTTCCTCATCCACCAAGCCAGTCATCATACTGTAGTAGTAGGCTATCGCATTGGTCAGGCATGCTTTCCCCTCTGTACGTCCCTGCTCACTGCTCCCAGTCACCTTGCCCTTCATGTGTTTGGAAATGGTTTGCAGGTGCTTCATCACCTTCCCAGAGTAGAGGTGAGGCTGATCAGCCTCTAGTTCCCTAATCCTCCTCCTTACCCTTCTTGAAGATAGGAGTGACATTTGCTTTCTTCCAGTCCTCAGAAAGGTCCCCCAATCATCATGACCTTGCCAAGATAATCGAGAGTGGCCTTGCAATTACATGGGGAAGCTCCATTGACGCTCGTGAGTGCATCCCATCGTGTCCCAAGGACACGTGTATGTTGAGTCTGTGTAAATGTTCTCTAACCTGATCCTCCTCCCCGAAGGGTAAGTCTTCCTTGCTCCAGACTTCCCCTGTGGTCCCAGGGGCCTGGGACTCCTGAAGACCAGTTTTACCGTAAAGACTGAGGTGAAGAAGGTGAGAAGACCTCAGCCTTTTCTGTGTCCTTTGTCACCCAGGCCCCCTGCCCCACGCAGCAGTGGGCCCACGTTTTCCCTGGCCTCCCTTTTGCTGCCAATTTAGTTGTAGAGACCTTCACTGTTGCTGATCACGTCCTTTGTTAGATTTTTGGGAGATTTTAAGTTTTGGGAACTCTATGTATTTTTTTAATTTTTTCAGCTCAAATATTAAACTTTAACCTGTCCTTTTCAATGGGCAAAACTCCATCCCCTTCATATGAATAGGTGAAAAAGCAGATGTCAGATTTCTAACATTTCAGTTGAACACAGTAAGAATTTTGTTTTCTTACTAGGATGAACTGGATTTGCTCCTGTGATTGTCCAGGGAACACATAAGATTTGCTATTTTAGTTACAAAGGATGAAAGAGAACGCCTAGGATAGGCTCTCACATGGTTTCAGGTAGGAATAATCATTGGTTAGTGAAGTACCCCAAAACAGCCCTTAAAGGAGGATGAGAATAACTAAAAGTCCATCTGCTAGGCAGTCCATACTGAAAAGGGTGTTTGAAGGTAATATAAGCAACTAGGAAACAGATGTGAAAATGACACCTATTTCTACAAGCTTGTCTGGATTTAACTTGTGATAATTGTTTTTCATGCTTACCTTAATCTATTTATGGATTAAAGGTGACTTCAATATACAGATCTTCTCATGACAAGCAGCTGCCAGGTACTTCTGGCTGCTTCAGGATAGTGGAAAAAATGCTCGGTGTCTCTATAAATTGCTGTGTAACAACAAGCTTTTACGTTGCCTGGTGTTTGCTTCATTAGCTTGATTCCTCTGAAATTTAACAGTATAGAAAGATTTGCAGATTACGGCAGTTAGACTGAGTCACACAGTACTGTTACTGTCATTAATGCTGACTAACGCAGGCAGCCCTCCATATAGTTTCTTGATCCAGATTTTAACGGTAGATCTTTCTAGTTTGAAAAGACAGATTTCTGAGGAAGTGAGAAGAAATACCAGCTTTTACCTCAGGTATGCACAACAAAGTAAATGAAGGAGTGTCAGGTATTGGCACAAGGCAGTCCTCAGTTCAGCTGGGATTTTCTGATGTTACTGCAATACAAGT